ATGTTATGTATAATGCATAAAAGCACAGATAATATAAACCTTCACCCATTTTCAACAATTATTAAAACAGCCAATTTTGTTTCTTCTTTATCGCCACCCTTATCTCCCATGGAATCATTCTAAAGCAATTTCCAGTTATATAATTTCATCCATAAATATATATTTCAATTTATATGTCTGAGACATAGATCTTACAAATATTACCAAAGCAATATTCCTGTCTATAAAATAATTAGTACAACTAAATATACAGTTGGTATGCAAATTTCTGTCATAGATTTTTATCGTTTGTTTATTCAAATAAAGGTTGAAATAAGGCCCATATGTTTCACCTTTTATGTGAATGGAAATGGACTATTTAGTACTTGGGTGTTTGGTGATGTGAGCATAATTAAAAACTTCAATATCTTTCATTCTGCATTGTTAGAGCGATTACTGAAGCCAGAGGCTGTAAGTTCAATAGCAGAGACATTCAGAACATGAGGCAGTGACCCAGCTTTTCAGAATGAAAAACAGTTGGCTTTTCCCTTATTTAAATAGATAAGAAAGGCTGGTGAATATCTAGCCTTTTTCCCTATGTGAATGTACCAAGTAGGATAAAGACCTTTTCTATAACCTTCAAAGGTTTGTTTTAATAATTCCAATGAATATTCAGACTATAAATGTTAAGTTTAGGACATTAAATTTGTTGGAATGTTCGTTTGAGAAGACTGTATTTTGTTCACTTACTATTGTAAACTCTAGGAGGCTGATTTTGTCACAGGAGGCTGATTTGGCTCACCAACCTTGTGATAATCACTTACAATGATCTCACAACCGTGACTATATGTAACCAAACAATATGTAAGGATTGAGCACTTTCTTACTGAGTTAGGAGGATATCTGAAAACACTCTTTGCTAAAATTTATTTTGCAATAAAATAATTACTCTTCTACTGTAAATCAAACATTAAACACAATACAAAATTTCATTCTTTCACAACATAACTGCTGGAACCTGGTAAAATGTAAAGTTGAAAAGTACCAAATCTTCTCTTAGGAAAAACTTTGACATTCCACCCATGCATTTTCCTCATCTCCCGGAATTTACATTGGAGTCTACCAGGTTTCAGTGTTTGGACTTCTTTTCCGTCCACACTCACTCTCTTTTCTGATCTGGACTCATCGTTTTAAATACCATCTATCACAGACAGATCTTTCCCCCAGAACGAATCCCCTTCATGTCCGAATGAATCTCCACAAGTCCCAAACCGAAACTCCTGATCTCCATCCCAAACTTGTCCCCCCCCCCGCCCCCCGCCCAGTCTTCCTCTTAATGGCAACCCCATCCTTTCAAGTCCTTAGTACAAATACCTTGGAGTCCTCCCTGACTCCTCTCTCTCAGACCCCACGTCAATCCATACCCAAGGCCTATTAGATGTAACTTCAGAGTACCTTTTTATCCCATGCCATCTCACCGCCTCTATGCCAATCTCCTGATCCAACCCGCATCATCTCCCTCCTGGATAAATGCTACTAACTAACTGCTCTCTTCCTGTCCTTCTGTACCCTTCAGTCTATGCTCAGCACAGCAGCCCGGGTGCACCTCTTACAATGTAACGCGTCTTACCAGGCCTGATACTGTTTGTCCGTTTTAACTTCTCTGGCCTCAAGTCACTACTTCTCTTTCCAGCTCCACTGCAGCCAACTCCCTTGGGTCCTTGTCCTTGCTGTGCCTCTCTTGCAATGTTCTCCCCTGATACCTGCACGGTCTTCCCCTCCCACCTCTTTCACGTCCTACGTGCCACCTTGCCCAGGAGGCCTCTTGACTTCTGTAACGGCTTCTCCAAACACTCCCTGGCTCCCTATCCCATCAGCATCCACCATATTAATATTTTGCTTATTTATTTGTCCCCCGACCCCCAAGTACAATGTAAGCCCCACGAGGGCAGGGAATGTTGTTTGCTTAATGCTCCATCACTAACTCCTAGAAGAGCTCCCGGAACACAGGAGGCACTTAGTAATATTTGTACCGCACTTGCCCCAGGTTTCCCCTTCACGCTGCGCCGCAGGATGTCCTAATCATGGACAATTCAGCCGCCGCAGGTCTTTCCGGGGGACGCCAAGTGTGGACTTGTGTATCTGAGGCCGGACTGCCCTCCAGCATAGGCAGCGCGGGGCTTCGTGCCTGCGGTTCCCCAGCGGCCCTACTGCAAGGATGCAGCTTTCCTCTCCCTCGAGGACGAGGACGGCAAGGGCCTCCTGGCCCGACCCACTGGGCCAACCCCAGCTCTTCTCTCAGGGAACCACAGGGGCAGCCTGGCAGGTGTTGGCAAGGAAAGCAAGGGCGTGTGGGTGACTGTGGAAGCGGACAGGGTGTGGTGAATTATCGAGCATGTCCGGAGCACGTGGTGTGCGGGGCTTGCCCGGAGCGATGGGCATGCTGGGATTGCAGGGCGGCCTGGAGTGGTGGCGCGCAGGGCATGCTGGGATTGCAGGGCGGCCTGGAGTGGTGGCGCGCACGGCATGCTGGGAGTGGAGCCAAGAGCGCTGTGAGACAGCGGGCGAACTGCGCGTGCGGGCCCGGTGTCCCCACAGAGGTGAGGACAGACGGAGAACATCTGCCGCGGGAGCCGCAGAAGGAGCCGGGGAAGGAGCAAGGGAGGCCGTTGCAGGTCCTGCCCCACACCCCGCGGCTTCTTCCCGCAGAGGCCCACACATCAGCCTCGGGAGGCGGGAGGCGTCAGCTTGGAAGGCGTTGCTTTTCGTTTTCAGAAGCGTTTTGCGGGCTCGGTTGACTGCTGTTAGGAGCAGACGGAGTAGGGAAGGGGCTCGGCCACGGGACAGGACGCCCGCCCGTGTGTGGTGGGGAAACGGTGTGGAAACGCCAGGTGTAGCTGAGGGGCGGGAGAAACATTCCTCCCTGAAGGCCCGCAGCCCTTTTCTGTCAGTAAGAGCGTGAGGCGCAGAGAGGAAAGAAACTAGCCTGTGGGATTTCCTGTCCCTGTTTTCCCAGCAGGCCCCGCGGAGGCGGAAGTAAAGGAGGCCCCAGACTCCAGGTGGGCCGGAAGTTGCTTAGACTTAAGTTCAGTGGCCGCAGAAAGTTAGGTTCTGTCTGGGTTCGAAGTCCTCAGGTGTAGAACTTGGTGGGCAGCTGTTCCGGGGCCCGGTGTTAGCGCTCCATCCACGTGTTTATCAGGCGACGGCCCAGGTTTTGAGCCTCACCACGTGATTATGCTAGGAAAATGTTAAGGTGATTCTAAATGATGAAAGTAAATAAATTCTGGCCTATTTCTGAACAGGTCAGAGTTGTTTACATGCAATTTTCTGATCAGTCTTTGAGGATTGACAAGGGGAGGGCCCCTCAAAGGAATTTCCTGCTAACTCTGCTACAAGGTATTTATTGGGAAAATGAATAGAAAGTAATTTGAGTGGAAAATGTGTTTTAGAAATGAAAGTGACATCGCAGATTTTCTCCCACAATGATGTGACCCATTTTCTTTAAAATACGCAGACTTGTGCCTCTGGACCCAAGCCATAATCAGTTCTGTGGTCTATGCTGCACCTCATTCATTATTGATGCCTTTACTAGAACGCTTCACAGGAAGTGAACTTCAGGCAAAATTGTGAAGTAGGTTGTGTTTGCAGTCGTTTGTACTTCATGTTGTGTTAACTTTTCACAACAGTAAGCATTTACATAGAAGAGAGTGGAAAAGCAGAGAGAAGGACATAATATTTTTATTTTCAATGTCAGAAATCATTAGGTCATGAACACCTTCTGTGAATTTGTTAAAGTTTCTAAGAGTACTTTCACTTTTTAAAGAACCAAGTGATCTCTAACGATGAAAACGTTAAGCACAGTGGTTCTTGAGTGAGGAGAAGCAACCCGAAGTCTTGCTCAAATGGCACCATACAGGCGTTTGGTTACGGAGACTGGACTTAAGGCTAGTCACACTTGCAGATTCCCAGGCTGTATGTGTTACTTTCCTTATTAAAGAGAGAAAATATGTTGATGTCAAAAAAGTTTGAAGTGGTACAATCTCAGTTTTTTCCCCCTGATGTACTTGTGCACATTAGAGAAGTTGAACTTAAAATCCAGTTTTTCTTTAACACATAAGATAGACTTCAAAGGTATACTCTGTGAATTATGAACTGTAAAATGTGTCCCAAATAGACATTTTACAGCCAGATAACTAATGGAAAAGGAAACTAGATAATTTAGGCATTCAGTAAACATATTCTTTCATATAAAATGATGAAAATATATTCCTTAACTTTGAAGTACTTTACAGAGATAATCTAAAACAGCAGAAAACTTTGCTATATATTTTGATTTCTAAAACAATTATTATTTTCATAGGAAAGATCAAAATGAAAGCTAAGAATAGCCAGGAACTAGATTAGGGTTCTATTTCCAATCAGGGCACACGCCTGGGTTTCAGGCTCAATCCCCAGTCGGGGGAGTATAAGAGGCAGCCAATCAATGATTCTCTTTCATCATTCTCTCATAATAGGGAGAAGAAAAATTTTGTGAATAAGAGAAAAATGAAGGACACCCCAAGTGCCCTTTTATTTCTGATCTCTAGCAATCTTAGAAGTGTTTGATGTTTCTATCTCTCTCCCTTCCTCTCTGAAATCAATAAAAAAATATATTTAAAAAAAAAACAAACATGTACCAAACAATTCTAGATTATTATTAGAGAACCTTAAAGGTAACATTTCAGTGACATTTAACTGCTAAAGTTTTTTGTTTTTATTATCTTACTAGAGGCCCGATGCATGAAATTCGTGCAATGGACTAGGCCCTCCAGCCCTGGCTTCGTCCAGAAGGTCATCTGGATGGTCATTCTGCTGTTCGGCCATCCAGTCTAATTAGCATATTATGCTTTTATTATAAAGATTTCAACACAGTATCAAATAATTCTGTTGCATTGGTATAGTTTACTACCTTTTTATTGCTGTTTGTTTGTCTGTTTGATTTTAAAGGCCTGATTGCCGAGGCATTTAGCCAACAGGAAAATATGAATGATTCTAGGCAGCAGTCACTGTTCTTCATCACACTTCCAGATTTACAGAAACTCTGTGCCGTCAAGATAATATTGCATAATGGGGTGGCAGATACCGAGATTAGAAGTACACAAATTAGGATGTGCAGGTAAGAATATATTTGTAACTAATGGTTTCTAAACTTTTTGAGACCTGTGAGAGCTGTTTTAGAAGTATCTTCTTTTTTTTTTTTAAATATTTTATTGATTTTTTACAGAGAGGAAGGGAGAGGGATAGAGAGTTAGAAACATCGATGAGAGAGAAACATCAATCAGCCGCCTCCTGCACACCCCCAACTGGGGATGTGCCTACAACCAAGGTACATGCCCTTGACCGGAATCGAACCCGGGACCTTTCAGTCCTCAGGCCAATGCTCTATCCACTGAGCCAAACCGGTCAGGGCTAGAAGTATCTTCTTTAAAGCAAAGTACTCAGTTTGTGTATATTATTTTAAAATAAAATTTTGTTTGGGCCAGATATATAGGATTACATTTAAAATACTTGAGATAGAATATCTCACTGTTTATAGACATTGGTGAAATAAATCAGGTTCCTCAAAACTTAGAGGTAGCAATTAATAAATACTGAGTACCTTCTGTTTATGAGGCACTTTAAGAGATACTATAAACATTTTAAATTAATATAATTTCTTAATATTCAGGTCAGTATAAGAGTATTTCTGAAGAATATTTCTCCAACAACTATTTTGAAATGTCTAACCCAATATAGTCTTTGGAAGGCAGCTAAGTTGAAGCCTCAAGTCTAACTCCCTGGTTACTGAGGACCCACCGTGTACCAGTCCTTTCAATTGTTTGAGGCACTCAAAAGACTCAGAATACATGACAAGATTCTCTCTGTAACTGAATTTCTTGGGGAGGAACAAACACTTCTAAAATTGCTAGGGGTCAGAAATAAGAAAGACACTTGGGGTGTCCTCCATTTTTCTCCTATTAACAAAACTTTTCTTCTCCCTGTTGTATATATTCCCACCCAAGTGCATCTAGGAGCTTGTACCCTTCCTGCTAGTATGTAGTTTGATACCTGCTGAGCAGTTATCTATGACCCATTTGGGGAACAAATAGGTAGAAAACTGTCTGCAAGATTTTCTCACGTTTGCTCTCAAATGGAATGAGGCCATGCCCATAGAGTGGGATGTTTTTACTCATCCTCCCAGTAACTGAGAAATTCAGACAAAGGCAGGCCTTGTAAAAGCAAGTACCTGCTGTACCCAGGTTCTGACATCAAAGATGAGACTGGGTTTTTTGAGATAACCCCTCCCCAACACACACTCACTCATGGTTTTTTAAATTGGTTTCCTAGATGATTAGTAATTTGGAAAATTATATTTTCAACTCTTCCTTTTTGTGTTTTCCCACCTTTTCCTTGACCTTTGAAAACAAAATTATTGATAATTTCAATTGTAGCAATTTTTGTTTTAAGTTTATTTGGCTGTTAAATGCTAAACTAAAATCACTAATGTCATCTGACTTGGACAAAATTTTCATTTTTGCAGGAAAAGAATCTAGTTCTAACGTTGAACTAGTTGATAAATTCACTGATAGTTGAGTCCTTAAACTGTTGCCCCTGTTCCCCCAACCACCACTTAAAAAAACAAAGGAAAATGGAAGAAACGGAAGTTAAAAGAGCTGGATTCTTCAGTGTTAAGACTTCTTTAAGTCTACACTTACGATAGAAATGGGGTTTTAAAAGGGGAATTCATATTCACAGATGAAAGAGGTTAAGAAACTCAGATGCAGGGACAAATTTACAAATTAATATCAATATCTGTAACTTAAAATTCCCTTAATTCAAGTCTTGGCTGAGTGCCTACAGTGTTCAAGGTAATGCTAAGTGTGGGGAGAGATACAGAAATCTATAACACAATCTTTGCCTGGAAGAGACTTAAACTCGTAATTGGAGCTAAGTGATTTTAAAATGTTCCGTTAAAGGAAAAAACAGATAGTGAGTAAGTCCACTTCAAAATGAATAATTTTATCTCCACAGGCAGTTGCTGTTTTTGCACCAAGATATTCTTGTATCACCTGTGCCTGGAATATTTAGCCAAATTTGGGTGGTGATGGCGGTTAGTATTTTAACATTTTATAAAGTATTCTTACTAATTATTTGGGGCAATATTGATAAATAGTAATTCAGGTACTAATTATAGCTCAAATTGAAGATAGTTTATGAAGACTAATTATAGTGTTTTGAAGTTTGAAGCATAGCAGACTTTAACATTGATATATCTGACATTCAAAATCTATTTTTGTGGTTCTAATTTCATATTTAGTTTTTTGTGTCATAAATGTTAAGATGAAGACTACGAATGATGATTAATATGTTACTGCAACATTTTTAATGATATAATCCTTTTCATATTTTATTCTTTAGAATTCCACTTAATATAAAGGAAGAAGTTTCTCATTCCATCAAATCTCCAATTGTTTTTAAATAATTTAGATCAACATTTTTTTTTTCATTTGGAAAATTACCAAAAAAAATTTATACTTAGTAAAATTAGAACAAGAAACATTTCCCTGTGCTGTATATAACTAGGAATTATAATGAAGGGTCAGAATTCTGTATAAAAATCATACCATCCTAAGATTTTTGTCAAATATCTTTCTGGAAATGATCTTATTCTGAGATTTTAAGTTCCCAGAATTTATTGAAATCAACATTTATTAACAGTGCTGATAAACCATACAAAATTATCAGTTCTTTTATTTTCCTTCTAGGTTATATTGTTATATGTTCATTTTTTCCCCCCTCTCATCCTTAATATCATTTTTAAGAAAGACAAGCTGTTGGTATACAACTAGACACTCATACCTCTTAATTGTGTGTTTTTTTTCTACCTGGAAATTTTATGGAATAAGGAAGAGATTGTTCTTTAGCTTTCTAGTAAATTCAAATATCTAATCTTAGAATAGCCACCTAAAACTGTTTTGCTTTATTGCAAATATATTACATGCTATAAAAAAATTTACAACATTATTTAAAAAGGAATTATTATGCATACTATTTTAAAGCTTGCCTTTCATTTTCCCTTTAAAAGCCTCTCCTGGATACTGTTCTGTCAACACATGTATCTTTCTCAATTTTAAGGTTGTGAAATATTTCATTGTATGGCTATAAAATAATTTATGCATATCTGAGTTTCTAGTTTTGTGCTATTACAAACAGTGCTTCGGAAAGCATTACTGAAATTATATAATTTTCGTTTGGTAGTTTCTATGGATTAAATTCTTAGAAGAGGGATGGCAGCCCATTTTAACTGTAATCTAGATACTGCAAAATTGCTACCTGAACAGTTCTTCTAGATTACATTTTTAACAAATGATGTATGAAAAAACCTATAGTTCTACATCCTCACAAATACTGGATATGCTCAACCTTTATACCTGCCAATCTTTTAGCTTACAAATAATATCTTCTTTTTTTAAAAAAATATATTTTATTGATTTTTTTACAGAGAGGGATAGAGAGTTAGAAACATCGATGAGAGAGAAACATCAATTCAGCTGCTTCCTGCACACTCCCTACTGGGGATGTGCCTGCAACCAAGGTACATGCCCTTGACTGGAATCGAACCTGGGACCCTCAGTCCACAGGCCAACGCTCTATCCACTGAGCCAAACTGGTCAGGGCAATAATATCTTCTTTTTATTTGTATTTATTTCATTGGTGAGTTGAAGCGCCTTGGCGTTTTGAACTTTCTCTGATCTTCCACTATGTCCATTTTCCTTCTTAAGATATAATAACTTACTGTATATTATGAAAGATGTTAAATATTTATTGGCCTCTTTCTTCTTATGGTTTCTGGTTCATGTCACGCCCAGAAAGGCTTTCCTCATTTTGAGAATGTATCCACAGATTCTATTTCAGGGAGAGATTGGTCATCACTTGCTTCTCCAAGGCATAAAAGCTATCAGGATGATGGCCTGATTCTGTGCTCTCTGCTGTGTAACATTTAAAGTCTTTTATGTATTGCTTTATTTAATATATGTTAAGTCATCTTTATAAATGTGGATTTTTGTTATAGATACCATTTTATAAAGCTGGAAAACTTAATGCCTATATTGAAAAATATGGAGCTAAGGTACGTTTTTTTTAAAGATAATAATTTCAGATGCTGTTTATATTGATTTTGTATTCAACTTCTTTTATAAGCCAACAAAAATTGGAGTATCTTTCTCATAATTTGTTGCTATGCATGTGAAAGAGCTGAACAGTTTTTTTCTCAAGCGATTAATTTGTGCACAGTTAGTAGAGACAGAGGGGAAGAGGATTATTTTTTTTGTTGAGTACTTTCTTGCAGGCATTTTACATGGCATAATCTTATTTAGCATATATAACTTCCAAGAACTGAATATTCCCATTTTAAAGATGAAGAAAATGAAACCCAGAGAAACAAAAATATTATAAGCAGAGGCACAAAACAATATAAATTGTATTCTACATGGTAATGAATTTCTGGATCTTAGCAAGGAAAATATAAATACATGGGTTGAGCACCTCTTGTGTCTCAGTTACTCAGACCATGGAGACTTGGCTAGAGCTCACTTCATGTTTCTGCATGTTTCTCTGAGGCGCACTGTGTTCTGGATTATTCCAGCAGGCTGATCAACTGGGGTTTGGGATAATGAGGTTTCTGGTCAACTCCAAGATTAGATACTTTCTTTAGGTTCTAGGAGGATTATAACGTCTTAACAATACCCGAAGGTGCTTTGCAACTCCATAAGAAATCTCTGAAGAACCCGGAAGCTGGTTTCAGCTGTCAGTCACAATCTATGGGAAAGCTGTATTCTTTAATCTTTTGGCTAAGACACATCTGAACTATGAGAACCATATTTACGGTATATCATTTACCTAGAACTAGAAACTAGGTCTTCAGGGATCCCTACAAAACTCTGTCCTTTATTGTGGAAATGTCTCATGGTTTTGTGGGGACTCCTTTGCTGTCTTACTGTCACACTCTTGGGGGAATTTAATACTTTTATTAATATATTGACTTAAAGGTAAACATTATGTTGTTTTTTGACAAATGTGTTACAAAAATAATAGATACAATACGATTTTAGAAATGAATAATAAGGATCAAAACAGTTATTTTTAGCACAAGAATATATAGCATTTCAGTATCGATTTAGTAAAAGAATATTTATACCAACTATCATCATTTTATATATATATATCTTAATATTATAAGAAAAAAGGAAAAATTAATAAACACATCTCCCATAGTCTTTATACACTAATAAAAAAAAAACACTTTTTGATAAATATTCTTCTAGTCTTGTAATTTACACCTTTGACTTTATCACTGCAAGTTGTCCAATGTCAAAATATTTAAAATCTTTTTGTTTATACTCTTATCCTTTTTCCATGAATCCCAATTCCTCATTGTTACTAAGTAAACTTACTTAGGCCCCTTCACCAGATTTCCAGATCCCAGATGCCTCGATATTCATGAGCTTTCTTCCAGCCTGACTTTCCTCTCCTCTTGGGCCTTTGTGATTTTGCTCAACTTTTCTTTTTATGGATACTTTCTGCATAATAGTAATTATAGTCAGCAGATATTTATTGAACACCTAGCATATCCTGAGCACTCTACCTGTTTCTGGAATTAAAGCTGTGAGCCACATAAACTCCCTGCTCAGAAATCTTATAGTAGGAAAAAACTTCCTCCTTTTTAAGTTTTTGGAGTTGGTGTAGAATTTTTGTTATTCCTTCTATAAATGTTTGGTAAAATTCACCAATACAGTTATCTGGGCCTAGAGCAGTGATGGCGAACCTATGACACGCGAACTCATTTTTTTGGTTGATTTTTCTTTGTTAAATGGCATTTAAATATATAAAATAAATATCAAAAATATAAGTCTTTGTTTTACTATGGTTGCAAATATCAAAAAATTTCTATATGTGACACGGCACCAGAGTTAAGTTAGGGTTTTTCAAAATGCTGACACGCCGAGCTCAAAAGGTTTGCCATCACTGGCCTAGAGTTTTCCTTAATAGAAGGTTTAAAACTATAATTTCAATTTCTTTAGTAGATAATAGAGTATTTAAGTTGTCTGTTTCAAGGAATATGTCCATTTCATCTAAGTTGTTGCTTTTATTGCCATAAACTTACATATAATATTTCCTTATTTTCCTTTGCTATAGAGTCTGTAGTGATGTCACCTCTCTCATTCTATATATGATAATATGTGTTTTTAAATTTTTTTCTCCCTGACCAGTCTTGCTAAAGGCTTAACAGTCTTATTGATCTCAAAGAACATCTTTTGGTTTTATTGATTTTTCTCCATTGTTTTACTCTTTTGCTTTTCAATGATTTTTCATTATGGTCTTTATTATTTTCTTATGCTTATTTTGGGTTTAGTTTGCTCTTTTTCTAGTTTCTTATGGTGGAAGCTGAATTCACTGGTTTGAGAACTTTTTCTTTCCCAATATAGACACATTTATTTGCTATAAATGTCCTTGTAAGCATGTTTTGTTTTTATTTTCCTCAGTTCAAAATACTTTCTAATTCCCCTTTGATTTCTTCTTTGATCTATGGATAGATTAGAAGTTTGTTATGTAGTTTCCACATATTTGGGGATTTTCCAGGGATCTTTCTGTTACTGCTTTCTAATTTAGTTGTGACTAGAGAACACATTTTGTATAACTTGAATTTTTTAGAATTTATTAAGACATGATAATTGGGTCATGTTAGTTGACAGTTTTAAGGTACTATATTCTCACTTATTTTCTGTCTACCTACTATATCAGTTACTGAGAAAATGTGATAAAGAATTTGCCCCGGACTATAGCTGAAGTGATCAGTAATACCATCTGTGCCCTGGAAGGCATCCAGGTCACCAGTCAAGATGTTTATGAATGATAGAATTGGCCTAGACTTCCTCCTTGCCTGTCACTGCTGAATGTGAGCTGGTATATCCTGCTGTATCTGGGTTAAGACCTCGGGCCAAGGGGAAGTCAACACAGAATCAAGGAGAAAGCCATTTGGCTTTGTAAGGTAGATCCTGATAGTTACGGGATTTGTTCACTGCTTGGGTCCTGGACCCTGGGGGCATGTGTGAAGTCAAAGCTGCAGGTTGGAGTCCTGTTGATAGTAGCCTTAATTAAATGATCTGTGAGACAATTGAACAGATTTGGTCCTGTTCCTCACCAACAGATTAATTATTTACATCCTGAGAGAATTTACCCGAAGCCAAAATAGTATGAAAACGAGGGTGGATAATATTGGGAGACAGTTCTCCTTGGCGCTAACACTTTTTTGCATGTCTTGGTAGTAGAGGCAGTGGCAGCATTTTCTTCTGAACTGTATTTGCACAGATGTTTGTAGAGCAAACAGCCTTGATTCTGTCCCCAGCCCTGGTCTCAGAGTCTATTCTCTGTACAGAGTCTGTTCTCTGTACAGCTCTCTCATCACCAACTCTTTGCCCCCAAAGCTTGCCTTCCCTTTTCACCCTGGACTCTCAACTCTGGCTCTGCAACTCTCAACTCTGGCTCCTCCAGGGCTGCCCCCCATGCACAAAGCCTGGAAACCGTCTTCGGTCAATATGTTGGGGTGATCATAGGTTCCCGTCTCTGAGGAACTGCTTTTGTTTGTTGCTTGATATCCAATGTCCTGTAAACCATTGTTTCATAGAGCCTGCCCCATTTTGTACTTTGTCTCAAGTGGGAGGATAAATCTGCATCCTATTATTCCCCTTGATCAGAAGTTCTAATTTTTAAAAATTCTCTACAAGGAAAGATTCTTTGCTGGTACCCATGTAAGTATTTCGTTGTTTTCTGGTGTTGAACTAGAGTGAACAATTATGAAAAATGTTACAATGTAGTTCTGGTCTGGTTTCTTCTGTGTATAGCAGAATACAAAGTAAAGTGTAAGGTTGTAACACAGAGGCTCTAAAAGTTTAGGTTCCTTGGGCCAGGATAAGCAGGTGGAATTGGTCTCTTATTATAATATGGCAGTAGTTGTAATTTCGGAGTGGAAATGGTTGAACACTTCTTTTAACTTTAGAACTAGATGGGATTGTGGTGACTAGAACTATCATCCAGAATAGCCCAGTTTGTTAGGTGGTGATTTAAAGACAGACATATTCTGGTAGCTTATAGGGACATACTGGTTGGTGTAATTTGCTTATATTTTATCCTTTGATCTTTTTAGGTAGAGGCACCACGAAGAGTAATTCCTGTAATTCTTCAAAACTGCCTTTCATATTCACTCACGGCCAGACTTGCTCCAGCCTGGAATAAAACTGGCCATCTCTTGGTGCAAGGTAACGCTATGTTTTTCAGCACTGTAGCTTTCTGACTACATTACTTCTACTATGTGCATATGTTTTTAATTTCAGTATATATTTAGGGAATAGTTTTTAAAACATAGCCCCAACCAAGCATTCTCAAGCAAGTCCACAACAACATAAATGTCATCTCTTTACTTTGGGATTATATCCAAAGCTTGCTGATGTTTCTTTATACAAAATGTGTTTTTTAACAAAGGAAAAGAAAATATGTTTATTATATAATACTTGATGTTTAGAAATAAATATAACTGAGGAGCCTTACTATAAAATGAACAGAATTTATCAATATTTCTGAAACCAAAAGGCTATTCTGAGTTTTGTGTTGAGGTCTGACCTTTCCTAAGCATTTTATATTAGGAAATAAATATTTGAGGGTATAATTGGGTATTTCTGTCCTTTTAATTGAAGAGATACTTTTTGAGTGGTTATATTTTCTTCTCTGAGCTGACATCAGATATTCTTTTGTATAAAACTGCATTTTAAAGCATTTTCTGTAGCTTTGATAATATCACATGAAAAGATTGTATTTATCAAGCATGATTTATAGATTATAATAATATGGCATATTCTATCCATTTTTTAAGGAAGAGAATTTCTTTCTCAGATGGGAAAGCAAAATGCTGTTGGTAAGTAAAAATGTATGTCAATAGATAAAAACATTAATCTAGTCAACAATTAAGCTGCTACAAATTGTTGAGTTGTACTCTTGGTGATTAGGTTATATTGGAGTTTAATCAGCTGTTATAATCACAATTTCACCTGGGAAAATAACTCTGGTTCAAAATATATAGCCTTCCTTATTGAGAAAAATTCACTTATCTTTATTGGAATAAAAGCTATGTTTTTTACTTCTCTACTTAAAAAAATTATGACTATAAAGGATTTAATTCTTACAGGAATTTATAATGTGTAGTTTCCAGAATTATATCATAAGAAATTCTTCAGTATTGTTGCAAATAAAAGCTTTATTTCTTATGGAAACATGATTCTTTTTCTCCTTGAAGTCTGAAAAGACACAGATGATCTAAAATAACAGTTTATGATATAGTTTAATTCTTTCAATGATATGTGTGGCTATTTGCAGTTAGACAAATTCGTAGGCAGTAGTCCAGTATAGCAGACAGGTGGAAATCCTAAGCCCAGGTAGACATTACTAATCAATCCACAGCTCTTGGATCTCATCTGTCCTCCTTGCACTAGTTTTATGTTTAAGTTGAACAGTGGTAGTCATTATACTCTAGCTATGGACAAATAGGTTCGCTCCTAAATTTAGTTTAATCCCTAAACACTATCAGGAGACTACAGCTATCAGAGATTAAAGATAACAGTTTAGGAGAACAAAATTCTTTATTTCTGTGTTAGAATTTTTTCTTTTAGTTTACTGAATGTAATATTCTACAGCAAAACTGACAAATTGGAAGGTTATAGCTCATTGGATTTTCACAAACTAAATTTACCCTTATAACCAGTTATCAAATAAAGAAACAGAACATTTACCAATACCTCACAAGCTTCCTCCTGCTTTCTTCCAGGTATTACCCCTTCCCAAGATAATAAGTATCTGACTTGTAAAGTACTTTTAATTATGAAATAGCAAGTTAGAAGCCGTGGGGCTCTATAAGATCCAGAGTATATCTGCCAGAATATTTGAGGGCATTCGTTAGTGAATGACTACTGAAGTCAGAATCATGGCATGGTACCACCTGATTTAAGAAGACAATCTCCATTTTTACATATGATAGATGTCAGACTTGTAAAAGATACTTGTTGAGTTTCCCTCTCAACTGTGAGATATCTCATTTTTCTTAATGCCACCCTGCCCTATGACATCTCCCAACACATACACACCCACATATCCACGTTGCTTCATTCAGCCTTTGTCTTCTTGTAGATGTCCCATCTGCGACTGTCAGATATAATTTGTTGATTGACTTTTACCATGTGCGAGAAAAAAGCCATTTTGAGTTTCTAACTTGAAAAATTAAGTTAAAGTAATTTCTTTTGTTACTAAAATACTTAATTTGATAGGATGGAGTAATAATTTCAGAAAATTTATAATTAAATATTTTATTTTCAGCATTAGACATCAATGTAACAGAAACTCAAGTTTGTCTAAGTATAGAAGCTTATACAATCAGACTGCCACCACCTGAGGTACCACATATTTTGATTTCCATAATTAACTTTATTTAATATATACTTATTATTATTACTAGCATGCCAGTAGGTTTTAATTTTTAACAATAAGAGTGATAAGATTTTTTATTTTCAAAATCCATATTAAATTCTTGGTATATTGATATTGTTCTAAATCTGGTTACCCAAAGAAAATATTGTCAGTTTAACACAGATCCAATCATATTATTCCCTTGCTCAAAAATCTTTTTAATGGCATTCAAGACTCCCCACAACCCTGTCCTGCCTCAGTGCCCACTTCTTGCCTCTTCTTACAACTTCAAATATTAAAAGCACTGTTTCAGCCCATAGTAAATGTAATATTCCCCCATTGGCATTCTGGTAGCTTGTGTGTGTGCACCTACTTTTTACACGGAACACTTTTTGCCTTCTTAGTTGAAGGATATGTCTTTTATTTTGCTATTTTCATAGCACCCAGTATAGAACCTTACTATTGCTAACTCAATAAGTGTGATTTGCCTTCTCCTGTGCCATTGGTTCTCAACAGGTGAAGGGGGAAATGAGTGCTTTTGTTCCTCAAATAAGACATTTTGTAATGTCTTGAGACAATTTTGGTTATCACAAAGGGGAAGAGGTGTGTTGCTACTGACATTTAGTGGATAGAAGCCAGAGATACTGCTAAATATCCTACAGTGCACAGCGCACAGGACACAACCCCACAGCTGCCACCACAAAGAGTTATCCAGTCTAAAGTGTCAAGAGTGTCCGGGCTGAGAAACCCCAGGCATGGGATAGATGACTCTGCCTTTGCTTGGAGCACCCCAGTTGGCTACATATGCTGCTAATCCTTTAAGAGCCAGTTCAAATGCTTCTCCATTCACTTTTCTGTTTAACTTTTTTATTACGAAGAACAAATCAAAGAGGAATAGGATCTACTTTCTGATCCTCAAGAATTATGTGAGCCGGTAGGGAAGCTGACTTGCATATAAATAAATAACTGGAATGGCCTGCATGGTGTTAACACATTGCGTACCACATAGAAATCTCTAAGACATACGCCAGGGACCGCACATTTTTGGGCAAACTGCACATTATTTAAATCATCATAATGCACTTTAGGTGTTGTTTTTCAATAATTATAACATTTTTGTTTACAAAAACAATTAAAGTTCCTAGTACTTTTTTAACGTATGGTACTGCGTAAAACATTTTCCTCTATGAAGAGGGACCAAACAAAATTAACATAAGTATCTAGATTCGCTCCTTCTTCCATGGGCATGAAAAACGAGAACACTCGTGAGCGGTCCTTAACAGATGGCGCGCGAAACACGCGAAAACTCCTGAGCGGTAGGAAATGTGTTAATATCTTGTGCTGATGAGAAACCATAAGCCTCCAAACCCAGTGTGCTCTCCACCCTCTTTTAAATCTTCATGCCATTCTACACCATGCTCACATACTTACTTGTATTTCTAGAGTTATACTCCTCATATATTCCCTATAAGCTTCTTGAGGACTAATTATTGTACCTTATCTGCCCTTTGATTTCTTACAGACGATACTTCTGTTTTAAATATTTGAGATTTGAACCAATTAGAGATTGACAAAGAAGAGTAAGACATAGAGATCAATACACCACCTTTATGAATAGGATGAGAATGTAACTTATCCAAAATGGACACTTTTGAGAGTGAAAGGGACACTTGCCTAATCGGATATAGTCCAACATGTATCAACTACGATATGTTAAAAATAAAATCACATTAATTAAAAATGGGTGGTTAACGAAGGACTTGTATGCATCCATATAACCATAACTAATGGACATAAGACACTGGGGGGTAAGGGAGGGTAGGGGCTTCTCAAGGGTGGGGGGGAAAAAAGGACACTTATGTAATACCCTTTGTAATACTTTTAGCTAAAAATAAAAAAAATAAATAAAATGATATGATAAGGAAAAAAAAAAAATAAAAAAAAAATGGGTGGTTAAGAGTTTATGGTACATAAAAGAACAATTCCTGAACCAGGAGTCTTAAAGCCAACAGTGAAATGAAGCTCAGAGGTGTGTTGTTCCAGGACAGTTTACATAGAAAATTTGTTAACACCATTTTGGAAAACAGTTTAAGTTTCACTTATGGTTTCTTGAGGCATTTACAAAAAGTAATCTAAGTTAAATTTTGCTTGCATTGCAGGATAAGCTAGATTAAGTTTTGCTTATGTGCCTTAATTGATTTTGCCTGCGTAAAGAATTTTCAGGTTTGGTCTCCATTTTATTTAGTTTAACAGACATATGGTCACACTATTTATTACTGAAGAAGAGAAGAAGCTATTGGGGAATGTGGCCTATCTGAACCTAGAAGTAGGTAGATTGACCCACCCATGAATGACAGTGGTGGAAATCCACAGGCTGCCTTGGGAGATCAGGCACCAGTCCCAGAATGACAGAGAGAATACACAACACCACTTTTTGCCAGCAGGCCAGCTCCCAAGAGGAAGAGGAAAGAGTTGTCCTACTTTTAAGTCACCTCATCTGTGCTAGAGAGGAATGAATGAGGGGCACAGCGACATCAGGGTAGCAGAGCTTTTTTCAACATGGGAGCAAACAAGAAATCAGAAGATGTTCTTCTCTTTCCTACTAACACTATACACTCAATACATATTTGTTTAGTTCATTTAAATTAAGTTCCTAAATAATAGTTTGTCATCAGTGCCTCTAAATCTCACCTTTCTTATACTTTTGATAGGGCATTTTCACAACCTGACTACTATAACAATTCATACTTATCTATGAAACAGTACAGAATAGGAGTTTTCATTGGGAGTTAAGAAGGAAAGTAGTAAAGCTCTTGCTATACTGTATAGAGAAGAGACCGGGTGAGCTGAAACATCAGTTACATCATGGAACGTGGTTGGTACAATGTAACTGAAGCCTTTAAAATTACTTTATAACTGTGTGTGTGTATGTGTGTGTGTGTGTGTGTGTGTCTAACAAATACAGTATGTCTTTTTTTGTCAAATGCTTTTGAGGACTTACGGATTAAAATCTTATTTCTATTGAAAGCTAAAAGAATTTGATATTTCTCAAAGCATTATAAAGGACTTTGATACTCACAAGAATGGTGTCATTGAGGGCCATTCAATTTTAAGCAACTGGTGCTACGTTTTGCCAAGGTGAGATTTCAATTTCTATTAACTAGGGGAGGTTAAATATACCATTTTTTTTCTAATTTTGCTTCAACATTGAGATGTGCAAAAGTATAAATCATTTTGTGAACTTCTGAAACTGAATTATAACTTTAAAAAACATAGTGCAGCAATATTGTCAGATTTACAGAAACTGTGAACTTCCTCTATCAGATTATGAAAATAAATTTATTATACATTAAATGTAAAATATACATTTATTATACATATTTATTAGATCAATTTTTAAGTAAATTTCTAGGTCTCATGAGATTACAACTATTATAATCTTAAAACTTTATAAACTAATAATGATTCATTATCATTTGATATGAGCTAAATTTTAAGATTATACTATATTCAGTAAAATATGACTTGTTAATATAAATAGGACTCTTGGGATGAAATTTTAACTTGCTTTACAAAAAAAAAGAACTTTAGCAAGCATATGCATAATAATTTAATCATTCAGGAAAGGATACAGATTAGATGGGAAACATAGATTTGACTCTGATTCATTCAACTCTTAAACTTTTCCCTAAAGTATAACAGTTACCAGGAATATCTATGTGTGGCAATATTAGTCATTATTTTGTCTTTATAACTGGCACATTGTTTGCATCAATTCAATTATTATTAACAATTCTAGTTGTTAAGATTTAATACAGTATGTGTTTGGAACTAGGAACAAATGATTAGTTTATTACTTATGTGTAGATAATTGTTAAATTGTTTTTTTGTTTGTTTTAAAATATATTTTATTGATTTTTTACAGAGAGGAAGGGAGAGGGATAGAGAGTTAGAAACATCGATGAGAGAGAAACATCGATCAGCTGCCTCCTGCACACCTCCTACTGGGGATGTGCCCACAACCAAGGTACATGCCCTTGACCGGAATCAAACCTGGGACCTTTCAGTCCGCAGGCCGATGCTCCATCCACTGAGCCAAACTGGTTAGGGCTGTTAAATCGTTTTTAATGCTTTCTAAATCTCATAGTTAACATATCTAAGCACTGGCTCATGATATTTTACCAAACTCTTATTTTTCATAGTATGAAAATGGGGAAGATATTAAGTATTCGTCATACCACACCTCCTGACTGTCCTTTTCACTCATATAAAGATTTCCAGATGCACTGGGATGACCTGGTAAGGAATAAAAATATATATTATGTAGGAAGTTACTTGATTTTACTTATAATTTAACCTAACTTTAGCTGTCTCTCAAGAGAATTTCAGCTTTGTTCTTAATTTTTAGTATGGCTACAAACTTCCAGAAGATGGTGGAAATATTAAAATATACTGCAACATCTACTTCAAAATGATAGGAGAAAGGATCTTTACATATCCTTTACATACCACCCTTAATGGGTGCTCTCTGCCCACCTTGTGACCCAGTCTCTCTCCTGCCCTGATAACATTTTCAACCTTCTCTAAATGTAACTACTTTCCTTTCTACTTTTTATCTGCATGAGTATTTTGATTTTCTTCCCATTTTTACTTGAGAATTAGTTTAATAATGATATTTCTCCCCTTAAACTCTTCTGCAACAATTAGACAGGAAAGAAACTTTACAGTAGATAGAAGGAAAAAATGTTTATTTGATTTCTAGTACAAAGTAAGAAAAAAGTCATGAGTCTCCTTAGCCAAGGGCTCCCTCCAGTGGCACTTTGGATATAACTGAAAGGGTGGAAGTAGAATTAGTTTAACAAAGAATTTTATTTTTGAAAGATTGCTTTACAGGCAAAATTTAGAGGATTTGACTTGCACTTAATGCACCCCATTGATTTAACAAAATATCTTAACATTATTTTTTAAAATCTACACACAAAGGAGTGCAAGTGCTCTGGTGAATCTCTTTAGTCTTAACGCGGATCTCCTGGGCCTTTGTATTCTGACGAGCTGGAGTTTCAAAATGAAGAGAGAAGAGCCATAATGTTCTTTCTGTATTTTGTTTCCTAACCGAAATCTTAATATAAAATTAAAGATCACAGATATCCATTATTCCCTTTCATTAGATGCGAAGTCATTATTCTGAATCTTCAGAATATCTTTCATCAGAAAATTAACTGCTTTTTTCAAAGAACAGCTTTTAGAGCTTAAATGAAATCTGTTTTGTTTCTTTGTCCTGAGTCTTCACTGCTTTCTGGAGCTGCATCCTGTTTATTGTTTACTATAAATACTTATTTTAAATCCATAAAGGTCATAGTGTCTTCCTTATGAATCATTTCTAGAATGTCTTAGTTTGCCACCCTGTAAGGGAAGCTGTGTCATAAGGATCCAATGAGCTGTTTTGATTGTGGATATTAAAATAGAAGTAATTACTATCCCTGTGAGAAAACGTGCTTTTTAGCTTTGGATTATAAAGTTGGAATTATTTAGCTTGGAATAAATAAGCAATATATAAAATAGATTTAGTTGTGTGTGTCTTTTTAACAGTTACTATTTAAACTTTTTTTATTGCATAAAAATGTTCCATTGTTCTTTAACATTGTTCACATACCCTCTCAGTTGCATCAGAAGTCAGCCCATACAGTTCTTTCCAAGGGTAGATTTGGAAGATGTGTTGAAAAGTTTTCTTTCAGATTTAAAATCTAAACTGCCCCATATATGTGGGTTTCCCATAAAGATGACAACGAAACCGTGCTACTCCACACAAGAACTAACTAAACCAAGTATACAGGTAAGACATTCGTGCCCTCTCAAGTTCTCTGAGACATACTATGCACCTGTCTTACTCGATCTCTTGCCTTCTCCGGTGAACCACCTAATCCGTTGTGATATAATTATTTTTCTTTCAGGTCACTGTTTCTCTAATACTATTTACTATGATTATACTTAACCATTTGTCACTGCCATTTGTTGTTATTGTATTTAATGTGCTATTATTTTATACACTGAGTGGCCAGATTATTATGACCACCTGAAATTTGTAGGCAAATTAGCTATCATTATGCGCTGAAGTTGCTAGAGGGCCAGACCATTATAAATAGGGAAGCAGGTTGTTTACCACGACAGTAGAAGTGATTTTTTTTCTGAAGATACGGGTAAACAACTCGATTTAACAGCCTTTGAATGTGGGATATATTTGAACGTGAGTGGCCAGATTATTATGATCACCCCATCAGTACTTTGTTGGGCCACCTTTTGCCTTCAATACTGCAGCGATTCTTCTTGGCATTGACTCCACGAGATGTTGAAAGGTGATGCGAGGAATCTCACACCATGCCTGATGAATAGCACTGTCCAGTTCTGTGAGATTTGATGGTTGTGGAACCAGCTGTCTGATGGCTCTTTTAACTTTGTCCCACAAATGCTCAATTGGATTGAGATCTGGTGATTGTGCCACCTAAGCAAGGTAAAGTCTCCCTCATGTTCTTGAAACCACTCCTGCACAATACGAGCACCATGGCATGGTGCATTATCTTGTTGGAAGAAGCCATTTCCATTGGGATACGCCATCAACATGGTAGGATGAACCTGATCAGCAATGATACTTAGGTATGTTGTGCTATTCAGATGTTGTTCCACACGAATTAAAGGGCCTAAATCATGCCAGGAAAACATGCACCAAACCATAACACTGCCCCCACCAGCTTGAAGGGTTGTACTCATGCATGTGGGGTGCATGCTTTCATGCTGTTTCCATCAAATTCTCACTCTGCCATCTGCATGATGCAACTGGAAATGTGATTCATCGGACCACATGACTTTTTTCCAATGCTCGACTGTCCAATCCTTGTGTTCCTGTGCGAATTGGAGACGTTTTGTCTTGGTAACTACAGACAGCAAAGGTGTTCGAACAGGCCTTCGGCTTCCATATCCCATACGATGCAGTGTACGGCTAATTTGCCTACAAACATCAGGTTGTCATAATAATCTGGCCACTCAGTGTATATTGTAGTGTTACTTTATATCCTTATTTTGATGGTATTTTATATCATTTCTTTTCCATTAAGGACATTATTATATTTTTACAAATTCTTAATCTGTATCCTTTCAGGAAAACAAAGTCAAGCCACCCAATCTGACCTCTAAACAAATGTTCAGGACCTCTCTGATTCAGGCCCCTTCCACAGGACCCTCCCTGGCTCAACATCCTTTATCGAGATCAGTGGCCATAGACCACAAGGTGGAGCCTTGGGTCAGCCAGCAGAATACCTGCGTGTTCTCAGCTCTGAACCTCCAGCCAGAATCTGCTCAGAGCAGAAAGAAGTCCCTCTCTGACAAGGCACCACAAGTACATTTGGAAGTACCAAAGCCCACCAGAGGAAATACTCTAGTTCAAGACACTAATTTTAGCTCCCAAAGTAACAAGGCCCCTAAATTCATACCAATTTTCAAAACTCGATCATTTCAGATGAATAAAAATGTCTTAGAGCCTGAAAACCTGAAAAGAAAACAACTTGTTACAGAATCCAAGTTGTTTTCATTTAAGACCAATGTGGTCCAGGATGACAAACTGAATTTAGATCCAGCTACAGAAAAAAGATATAATTGTAATGTTCAGATGGAAGTTAGAAATTTAAACCAGAAGACTTTTAGACCTCTGCAAGAAAAAGAAAGTATGACAAAATATCTCCCTTGTAACAAAAAATCATCAGCTGTGAGTATGAATGGAAATAAGCGATTATCTAATAGTTCAGGATTGCAGATGTCAAATAAGAGTTTAGGTACGCTAAAAAGTGCCATTGACTGCCAAGTGAATGAAAAAGAAATTTTAACAAGCAAACATATAGCACAAATTTTAGAAAAGGGACATGAGTCACTAAAAGTGAAAAGACCACACATTTTTGAATCAGACACAGAAATGGAAGGTTCCCAACTACTTCAACAATCAGTCAGTAAAACTAAAGAAGTTGATATCAGTGACCACAGACAGATAGCAGGCAGGACAGCCCACAGGCCTAACAGAAAACTATGTCAGGAATCTTCAAAACCTGCAAAGCAGCCTCATTCCAGTAATGTCCACTATGGACAATCCAGTTCTTCTATGAACCAGGTAAGAAAACAATTTTAATCTGGGGATATTTATCATATGATAGATCTTTAAAACCCCTAAATAAAGATTTAAGGGATTTTCCCAAGATCATCTAGAAACACATTGGGAAAATGTGCCCTAACTACAAGTATATACAGTTGAGTTATTAAAAATGGGATTCTTTAATCTGATTACAGATACATGACTTGGACAAATCAAAACCTAAGAAATCTCTCATCAGCCCTCAAGCTTATAACATGGATGTGAAAGCAGGAAATATCCATAAGGTAACTTAGGTGATACCTTTTGATTTATTTTCATTAAGTTATCTGAATTGGAATTGCCAAGTTTAGGTATCTCCAACCTCTTGATAAAGAGGAGTTACTTTTAAATCCCTTGAAGCCTTAAAATCAGCCTTTGTAGGTAACAGCAGCTGTTAATACAGAAGAGACCCTGAAGAGGGAGGAGGTGGAGAGAGGTCCCACTATGGGCTCTTCCTACTTTTGTGCTGGGGTCTTTGCAGACTAAGAGCCTCCAGGGTACAGCAGCAGCAGGCTGCCCAAAGATAGGAGTCCAAAACCACTAGAACATGTATCTTTGGGGACTTTTACCTAAGATGATTAAACTTAAGGGATGTTTCAAAAGTTAATCATTAAGTTAAAATTTACTCCAAAAATGTTGCAGTGCTGGCTAAGGTAAACTTGAGATTTAGCTGAGCATGCTGAGTCCACAACACTGAATTCACAAAACCTTGCATCTGGAAATTGCATTTTATTCCATCTTGCCATCTGTTCTATTCTAAGAACAAACATTACTCAAACATCTACAAACACTTTTTTGCATAGAACTATTGGAATACTTTCAATTCAAATTCTTTATGAGCAAACTAGAAAATATTTACCTCTTTATTCTTCCAAAAACTATTTATTTTTATAATTAATAGAAATTTCAGTCTGATTTGAGTTCATCAAAAGGTACTTAAGTCTATTCCTATATATTTTATCATGTGTATTTCATGTAGTTTTTGACATATTACATTTTAATGAACTCAGTACATGGTTAAGGGAAAAATGTATGTGCTGCAATGCCTTAAAATTTTTCATTTTTAAATAAATGAAATCTATTCCAGATTTCATAATTTTTAAAAGTATAATTTTCCCACTTTTGAGTTATTTAAAACCTAAAACAATTTTTTAAAATACAAAATCATTCCCATCACCTAGACAGAATAACATGAGAAAAATTACAGGGTATCATTATAGAAACTAATTTCCTTCGAATATAAAATTAATATATGCCCCTGTAAGAAATTTGAGAAATACAAAATAGTTTCAAGAAAAATTTTTTGAAAAACCGCTGTAATTCTTCTTTGCAGAGATAAACACTCTGAACAGTAGATGGACACTCGGGCACTGCTGTGCATGTGGAATTGGGCTCCGTACACAGCTGTGGGACCTCCTTTTTCACTCGACAGTTTCACTTTTCATGGTTGCATACAAGGTTCATTGTATGTGGATACATTTACCAGTCCCTGCTGATTGACACTTCAGTTTTTCCAGACTTTTCACTATAACAATGTCATGTGAATGAATAGTCTTGTTCAGATGTTTGCAAAATAACCATTTATATGATTAGTTTTGTTAATTGAAAATATTTTTATTTTGTCCTTACTACTTTTATTATTGAAATTTTCAGATCACACAAAGTACAGATAATAGTATGAAGAACCTCTAAGTACCCATCATCCAGCTTCAACCATTATTAATATTTTGTCACTGTTTCCTCTGCTTCTCACATATACTTCTTTACTATTGTAAATTACATTAAAGATAGCAAATAAGGGGTAGCATTTTTTTTTAAAGAATGTATATATATACATTCTTTTGGAATGTCTGCCATATCTTTATTGTCTCACTAAGTTTCACTTTAGTTTAACAAAACTAATAGGAAGCCTTCAATAAACATTTCACAGAACTAGAACCTTCTGGGACATAGCAAACTATTGGAGTAGAGGTGTCTTTGTTCAGACATGTCCATAGCTTGTGCTCTGTGCCGGCCAGGAAGCAAAGCGGGGTTGCTGAAATGACAGCACCACCATAGGTCGCTGTCTGCTCTCAAGCAAATCCCTCTAGGTTCCTGGCAAAGACGTGAGAGCACCTGTGATTTGAAGCAAACATTAAGAATGAACTTTCGGTCCGTATCACAAATAAATTTAACATATAAGATGAGAGAAACAGAAATAGAGCTGCTCACTAGGATTATTCTGGCTTTCAAATATTTTAGATGTTTAATTTACAAAATGTGATATAATTGTTGTGGTAAGATACTTTAAAAACATCTCAATATCCCACTGAAGTTATCCTTCATTACATTTTTTAAAAATATCAAAGAGTCAGCATAAGTGGAATTTTTATTTTTTAAGTATGATTTACTGTTTTTGCTATTTCACTAAGCCATTGCAATTAAATGCAAACATGAACATGAACTCTTCTTCAAAGCTATATCATTCTTCCTCTTGAAATTGTGCTTGGCTAACTAATGTACTATATACCTTTACTGTAAACATTTGTTTTCCAGATTTATCTCTATTTTACAGTATTTTACCATTTTCATAGGGAAACACATCTAGTATGAAGCCCATTCTGAGTGTGCCTTTCTCGTCCTGAAACTTGTATGATAGATCATTAGTGGAGACTGCAGTCAAGATCAGGCTGCCATCTTGTTTTTGGGGCTGTGGTGAGAACATGTTTTACAAAAGTGCAATTGATAAGAACATATACTGGGTTGCTCAGTTGTCGGCAGCATGCACTCATTCTCAAAACCGGTCTTCCCCTGCTCCTTGTGTCTTAGGTGCCCTCCTGGGACTGTCCAGCCATCATACTGTAGGTAACAAAGACTTACATTGTTAGTGCACTAAGCAGAATAATTAAAAGATAAACCCACTGCTGAAGTAGTGTGTAGTATCTTCCAATTCAGAATTTATAGTGTAGTATTTCATTTAGAGAAATCTTAACCTACATGACAAAGCCTGTGTTAGTATCTGTCTGTTTTCTGTCTATATATATTGATTGATTTCAGAGAGAGGAAGGGAAAGGGAAAAAGAAAGAGAAACATTGATGAGAGAGAAACATCAATTGGTCCCTCCTACACGACCCTACCAGAGATTATGCCCTGACCAGGAATTGAATGGTGACCTCTTGGTGCATGGGTCAACGCTCAACCACTGAGCTGGGCAAAATAGGTTTATTTTTTTCTTACAGTATTCATGCTAATGAAAGTTTACTCTCTCCCAAAAAATGTATACACACTTTACAGCTGGTAATTCAATTGATGTTTCTTTTCAGATTTAACCTATTAGACTTAATAATTATTCAAAGTTTGTATACATTTTTGGGGATACCCAGTATATGTATGATTTACTGTATAGATACATGGACAGATTAGTTAGTTAATTGCTTATTTACTATACATGTTCAGATTATTTATTCTCCCATGTTCTAGACCAATTTGCTCTGCTAGGATTCACTAGAGAAATCAAGGAAAATTTTGATTCATTTTAAAGATTATAATTTTGAAAGCCAGAATAATTCCAAATCTAACTTAAGGAAAACTAATTGCACTTCTTCAAATTTTTGGTGATTCATATGCATGTGGACATCCCCTTACCCTGCTGCCAAGTCATTATTCACATTCCAATTGTATGTTAGTTTTACAAATATTATCATTTTAAAACCATACATAAGTTATTTTTATTTGTCAAGAATCTTAGATCAGCCATTGCATTTAAACTATGGCAGTCTGCCAAAATTAATGCTAAGAATTCATCTTTATAAAAATGTAAAAATACTGTACGTGTACTATTCATATTTTAAATTTTATAGTATTGCTTACTACATTTGTATTTGTTTTTTAATATTTATTATCTGTAATAATTATACATTATATTTTTTATTTATTGCTTTCTATAACAAATAAGTAAAAAATATGGTTTTGTCAATGAATAGCTTTTATTTGACTAACCAGTTCACTAACCAGGTCTTGCTCTTTTTCAAATTGCTCATCATCTGGTGTTATCCTGGAATTGTGTTGGGTATTTATTGATACTTAAGAATAGGCAGTATTTATAAATGTTTAATGATGTCATGGTCATTATATATTGATGCTTAAATTGTTTGTGTTGTATCCTACATACTGTCTTATTTTAAATATAAAATAAAGGCATTTCAAATAGATATATTTTTCATATGTCACAGTGTCTATGTAGGCATGGAAAGGCTTGGGTAAATTATAGTTTTTACCTCTGTGGTTGCATTTCTTCACGTGCATTTGCTGCTGGAATCAGGTAAAATAGTTTAAGTCTCCACCACTTTGCAGAACTTTTATTCTGAAATGCCCTTCATTCTTCCATTGGACAGGTATTTATTTAATGTCTGCTATTTGCCAAGCATGACTGTAGATGCTTGTGATGTATCAGTGAACACTGACCTTATATTCTAATGGGGAGAGATAGACAACAGGCAAAATAAATTTCGTGTGTGTGTGTGTGTGTGTGTGTGTGTGTGTGTGTGTGTGTATGTGTATGTATTAGAGGCCCAGTGCACAAATTCATGCACCAGTGGATTCCTTTTGCTTGGCCTGCTGACATCCCCTGAGGGGTCCTGGATTGCGAAAGAGCACAGGCCAGGCCGAGCGACCCCAGCGACCCCACTGGTGCACTATCAGGGCCAGGGAGGGACGCAGGAGGTTGGCCAGCTGGGGAGGATGGCTGGAGGGCTCCAGGGCATGTCTCGCTCAGTTCCTATCAGCCAGACCCCAGCAGCAAGCTAACCTACCGGTTGGAGCGTCTGTCCCCTGGTGGTCAGTGCATATCATAGCAACTGGTCAACTGTCTGCCCCCTGGTGGTCAGTGCATGTCATAGTGAGCGGTTGAGCGGCCTTAGCATATCATTAGCATATTACACTTTGATTGAACAGACAACTGGACACTTAGCATATTAGGCTTTTATTATATAGGATACTAGAGGCCTGGTGCAAAAATTCGTGCACTTGCGGGGTGGGTCCCTCAGCCCGGCCTGTGCCCTCTTGCAGTCTGGGAGCCCTCGGGAGCGGGCCTAAGCCAGCAGTCCCACATCCCCCCTGTGGGAGCCCACTGACCACCAGGGGGCAGCTCCTGCATTGAGCATCTGCCCCCTGGTGGTCAGTGTGTGTCATAGCGACTGGTCGTTCCGCTGTTTGGTCAATTTGCATATTAGCCTTTTATTATATAGGAGATTTTATATATATATATATGATGTATTAGAAAGCAACAAGTATGAGAAAAAAGAAAAATAGAGCAATGTACGGGAGATGGTCATGGTAGGCTTCCTTGGGCAAAGGTGTGAAGAAATGAGTGAGTTAGCCACATGGCTGCTTGAAGGATGAGCTGTCCAGGCATAAGGAACAGGCTCTATGTTTAAGAAGCATCAGGGAGCCCAGAATGACTAGGAGAAATATCTGATCATATTGGGCCATGGCAAGAACATTTACTTTCATGCTAAGTAAAATGGGGTTGAGACCAGAGGGTGACAACCTAACTTAGGTGTCAAAAGGACCATTCTGACCACTTCGCTGAGAATAGACCAGGGGTAGAGAAGAGTGTGAGAGGACATGGGGACCAGCTAGGAGACATGGCAGAGCCCAGGCCAAGATGAAAGTGGCTGGTCCACTGGTGGCGGTGAGGATACAATGACTGATTCTGGCTGTGTTGTGAAAAATAGGGCCCCCTCAACTGGGAAATTGAGAGAAAGAGAGGTGTTTGACTATCACATGGGAGAATGGCGATGTCAGCATGAAGAGGAGCAGGCTTTGAAGTTAGAGGAGGACTGGGATCGAGTGTCAGATTTCACAATTCGGAGGTGATTGATGCCTGAGGAGCAGTTTCCTTGAAATGGTGAAGCAAGAGCCTGACTGAGTTTAAAGGAAAGGGGAAGCATGGGTTGGGGGTTGGAAATCACAAGTGTAGACAGCTCTTTTGAGAAGGGTCACCAGTGGGCTTTTCTAAATCCTTGCTTTCATTTACCCTTTGACAGTATTGTCCTTTGATTGCCCCTTTCTGGAAATGTATTCTCCCATGGCATCTATATTATGTCTTCAGATGCAATTTCTGTGTTTCCTTTACTGGTTGAATACATCAAAGATCTTGAAGGCTGAACAGTAGTTATGCCACACACACTGGGACTGGAAGAAGGGCATTCCAAAGAGAAGGAACACGAGCAAAGGCTTGAGGAGGTACACACAGGACAAATACTTGGGTCTCTGATAGCACAGCATCCTGTCTGCTAAAACACACTGCTCCATGCTGTTCATGGACTCTTTAATGCAAGCATGTCAAACTCTCAGCTGGTGGGTGCATTCCTCGTTTACTTGGCCGAGAGTTTGACATGCTTGCTTTAATGTGTGACACAAAAGCGGGATTTACAAGATATGTTGACCTGAT